ATGGGCAAGTTCATAGTCCGGTCTGCATGACAACGCATCAGCCAAAGCATTTTGCTTTTCTGGCTTATACATCACCTCGAAGTTTTGATATGCAACGAAGGAAAGCCACCTGGACATTCTCTGCTAGAGGTGAGACCACTGAGTCGCAGTGCGTAGTGACGCATGATCTGTGTAGATCATAAACAGCTTCACGCCAATCAGTTGCACCCTGAACTTGACAAGTGCGTACTTCATCGCAAGTAATTTCTTTTCGTGGAATGGGTAGTGTTTCTCCGCAGGCCCAGTCTGGCAAGATTCAAATGCGATCACCCGGTTATGCACTTACCTGCATTTGCATACGGCTGATTCTCGCACATGCACTCGAGCACAGCTCTCAAAGAAACGATATCGTTTTCCTCATCTGTTCTCCTGTTCCCGCTCAGTGGATGAAGATGTCGTCGGGCAATATTTGCATACGCCCCGTGGGACCTGAACAATCATGTCATAAGACGATTTAATGTTGCTGGTGTGTTTGACAGCCTTTAGGGCATCACCAACCACTCCTATAGCATGCCGCTCGGAGTACTCGCCGCTGTCAGTGGAATATCACTCGCTCTCATGAACAATTGGTAATATCCATCGACCAAGTCGAGTGCACTGTATTATGTACAACCAACCATATTGTTCTGGAGAACATCCTTTTTAAAAATTGGCGTTTGTGCCAATATGGTGGCAGCATTTAGCTAATTGTAAGTGTGACGATACGCCACTTTGCGTTCGGCTTCCGGACACAAAACGTGGGTGTCGAATGAAGAGACTTGCTCTAACGCACCATTGCACAAAAAAGGCGTCAATGTTGTCATACTGCTCCTGCGGTTTTTGGTTCCTGGCACCAATCAATCTCATGACGCACACCTCGGTCCGTAGGCAGGGGTCTTCTGGAGACAACGTCTTAAAATTCCGTTACCTATGGATAGTCTAGATCCGAGGTTCAACAGTAAACTTCATGCGTTCAGCACTCTCTTAATGTCCTTCAGAACAGCTTCATCCAGAAGCGAGGACGAGTTAATCTCCTCGTTCGGTCGTATAATGACCAACTCGGCAAAATCGTCTGCCTTCAAGGCACGAACAAACTCTTCGAAGGACATCGCGTCCAGATTTAGAAGAGTATCCACCGAGGGAACAGCCTCGAGAGTGACGTCACCGTCTCCCTCCCCCGTTATACCGTGGACAAGGGTGTAAGGCTGCGCGCTATCCTCTACGGTAGACACACCCTTGGTCAGGGTCGACGCCCTACGTCTCACAGATAACATTCCGCATCGGCTTCTTCTCTCTATAGAGGTTCTACAGACCAGTGTGATTACGCACTCAGCGTCGTGCAGTATCCCCACTCATGCTCCATCGGAGCCTTGATGTTATTAACAACATCTGACGAAAAGCCGCTATTTTCGCTGATTTCAACCAAGTTGACAACATAACACTCCACGCCCATCTGAATGTCCTTACCCGAGATACCTCAGACCTCGACCGACCATGCTACTCTTGGCATGCAGCAATGCTTCGTAACGTGAGCAATGCTCAGTTGATTACGTGCCACGACACGTGCATCACTAGGGCCCCACCCTCGATACCTCGGCCCTTGGCCGACCATGCCATTATTTGCATGCAGCAATGGCTTTGGTACCTGGGCAGGGCTCATTGGGTTGCGTATCACTCCACGTTTAGCCCGCGAGCCATGCACGGGACTGTTGTCCAAAGCACCTTTGGTGTTCGACAACTCGGATAATTCGATATCCAGCACATTGACGTCCCGGTCCAGTGCCCACGCCAATAGCGCTTCTACTCCCTAGCAGTGGTGGGTTAATGACTCATCAATGCTCCACCAGGAGAGGTGTGCGTAGCGCAATAGGTCTTCGACCTCCGAGCAATCCATGACTCGCTGTGTTCCAACCATGCCATAACAAGGAAAAGGTCATACCTTGCATCCAAGTCTAAGACTAAGCAGCGTTCCATGCTGGCAAAGTTAAGAAACTTGACATCGAGGTCCACATGAGCCCTCGGCACATTGACACAAGTCCCCGTCGCTAAGACAACAGTAAAGATGTCACTGAACCGCGCTTCCAGCGCCTCAGCATACAGCTAACTTCCTTCGATCGCCGGCGTCGAGCACAATTGCCCGACGTCCCAGAATTGATCATGATTTTTCATGGTTTCCTAAAGCGCTTGACGGTCGCTGATATGATCAGCAAGCCCGACCTGCATACACGTTCCGTGTTCAAGAGGAGGAGATCTTCGGGGCTGGACCTTGCTGACTTCTACCTCTTTAAAATTCAGTTCCTCCCCATTAGGGCAGGGCGCTCCACGTCCAGTGGGTGCTGTCGTTTCCGTGCAACAAACTATAAGACCGGTGAGAGGCGTGCCTTGCGCATGGAACAATAAGTTTGAAGGTGGCGGGTGTCTGAAAGCAAAATGCTTTGGCTGATGCGTTGTCATGCAGACCGGACTATGAACTTGCCCATGTCACGACGGTGACGTAGTCGGTGACAGATCTGATCCATGCCGCATACGT